AGGGACCGGGGGGCAGGCGAGGCCGGGGTCTGGGTGTCCCCTGCCCGGGGCCGGGCCCGGCCCTGCTCCCCGCCTTCCCTCCGCCCCGCTCCCCGAGCCTGGAGGAGCAAGGTGATGCTTTTCGTTTTTCAAGTTGCCGCACAGCGGTTGTTCAAGGACTCCAGCAGTAATTTGAATGTGAATTTTAGGTATTTGCTTCATCCAAAGTCGTATTGCAAGAAATAAATAGGGTGGGGAGGATTTTGGGGGGTAGATGTCCTTTCTCTCTTTCAGTTCTAAGGCACAGAGGTGAAGGACTCACACACGGCTCGTTCCAACCTAATTCTCTTGAGTTCTGATGCAATGCCGGGTAGCTTTGTGGACGCACCATTATAAAGTGGATGTTAGCTTTTTTATTATATAAACATATCATGTAATTATTTTAACAGCTCAAGCATCACGCTACACATGCAGCAGCATTTTAAAAAACTTGTCTATCAAGAGTTTTCAACCTAGTCATTTAGGTTCTCATATGAATATGATTACACGTCCTGGAAAATATCAGTTCCTCTTCAGGGACAGGAAAAAAAAAAAAATGAAGCTGATTCAGGATTATAGACATAGAGGCATTGTTGCATTGGCATAGCTGCAACCACGGCTTTTGAAAGGAAATACCCTCCTTTGGAGGAAAAAAGGAACAACAAGCTGTGTTCCTCATGATATTTTTAAAAAAAGTAGAAAGAGTTTTGAGCCAAGTGCTTGCAGAGTATCTTGAAGCTTCCACTTGACAGCCGCCCCGGCTGGGGCTGGGCGCTCCGGCTGCTCTCTGGGCAGTGACCCAGCCCCTCGCCCAAGTCGGCCGGTGAAGTTCTCTTGCGCTGGCAGCGTTGGTTAACTTGGTTTGTGCTCGTGTGTGTGTGAGCCCCAGCGAAATCTAACCTCTAATGGTTTCATAATCATCGTAGCGTGATTCAGGGCGCGGAGGAGCTGCCACGCTCTAGAAGCTTATCTCTTTTGTTCCTGAAGTGGCACATGCCAAAGATAATTTACCCTGGTTTGTTAGCTTGTGTGGCTGTACGTACGCTTGAACTGGTCTTGGTATTTATTTTCAGTTAAATACTGGGAAATAAGTTTCTAAAAGAAGAGTTTTATCTCTTTCAAGGGTAGGAGGGGGTCTGCTGAGGAGACTCGCTAATGGTCCGTAGCGTAGCTAAAAGGAAGTTACCTTTAGGCAAGCAGTAAGTAATTATCTTTGTTTATGTTCTAACCTCTTGCTTATTGTCCAAAAATGGTGGCGTATCTCAGACTCGGGGAAAATATTTATACCATCAGGCTAAATAATGAGGTCCTTGTGGTTTGCGATCTGTATGATTGGACTCATCAGCGTGTTTCACTGCATGTCAAGGGGTAACAGGCCCTGGGTATTTCTAGATCTTGTGTCTGATGCTGTGAAACTCTATCTCTTGGTTAAAGGTTTTGAAATAATGGGTCAGGTTCCCCAGCTGACGAGTACAGATCTGCTTGGCAGAATGGGACTGTTTGCAAGGGGGAGGACTGGGTAATTGAATAGGGTTGGTGCGATCTTTTATTAAAAAGTGGGACGAGGGAAGGCACGGGGACGTGTAACCGGAAAGCAGTCTGGGAAAGGTCAGCTCAGGAGCCGGTGACGCTGGAGGGCCGGGAAGGGATTCGGATTTGGTTAGGGGAGGAGGAGCTTGAATATGTGCTTATTAGCTCTTTGATTCAGAGATGCTTCTTGTTCTTGTAAAATAACAACATAAACCGAATGGAACTTCTTTTCCATTTGTCAGCTCCCTGGTATCGCGTGGCCCTAAAAGGGAGCTCTCGGGGTTGTTACAGATTCTGCAGAGCAGGTATCTGCCAGGCGTGCTCTAATGCAGAGTTCCCTGTAAATCGGTGCAGAATACGAGCACAGTGTAGAGGGGCTTTTTATTTTAGGGCAGTGACTTTATTTGTAGCATCTGGTCCCAGTCTGTCGCCTCAGCAGCGTGGGATAACCGGTGCAAACGGAGCAGGTAAAGGTCTTCTCTAGCAGCAGGTTGCACCAAGGAAGCTGAGGCTGTACCACTCGGAGATCTGTAATGCTACCTGTTGTTGTATAAACGATTGCTGTGCAAACTGCCTCCTGCTCTTTATTTCTGTAAGTATTTTTACCTGTGTATTTTTAGGACTGGCTTGTTTATGTTATTAAGCTGATTAAAGGCTAGAGGCACGTTAAGAATAGCATGGCTTAGTTCTATAACATTGTGAAGTACAAGTCATAATGGGTGTATTCAGAATATAGAATAGAAACGATTACTGCCCAGACTAATAGCTTCAAAATATCAAACTGCAGTTGGTAGCTGTCCTGGCTTTAAGAGTGTGCCGTTCGGTAGCTGATGGAGAGATGCAGCTGCATGTTTCTGTGCCATCTCTTTTTTCAGAGAAAAGCACAGACACGGTTACACTGAGAGTCCATGTTCAGATTTTACGGTTCTGGAGTAACAGGGTTAGGTGATACGCTCTGTTCTAAGATCTCAAAGAAAACTTCTCCTTTTTGGTTCTGGCTTATAATGCCACAAAGCTAATGTAACTTCATGGGTATCTGGAAAAAAAAAAAAAAAAAGAAGTTGTTGCTCTTTCCCATCGGTACCGATTCAGCCTTAGCTCCTGTGAGTTTAGTCTGAGCACGGACTGAGACGGTCTTGAAATTAAGCCACACATCTCTTGAGAAGACGTTCCGATGTTCCAGATTTAAAACCTGCCCAGGGAAGTGATGCAGCTTGGACTCAAAGTACCAACATAAGCATGGTAAATGTTAAAGGCTAAAACCAGGCCCCCTCTTTTCACACCCTCTATGCCTATTTATTTATGTTTTAGCATCGCTGTGCTGTTCTGTTGCACTCTGTCCCTTTTTCTGTAAGATGAACAAGGTGTAAATCTCCTCCTCCTGCCCTGGGATCTCGGCTGGGCAGCTCCCCATGCCAACAGCCGCCAGCAGAGGCACCTGAAGCCGAGGGTCAGGTTCACGGCCTCGACAGCTCTCTGCAGGAGGCTGCCGTCCGATCTGAACAGTGACCAGCCCTGGCCAGCGCTGCCCTGGCCCGCTGAAACACGGTTTGACTCGATGGAGTGAGTTTCCTAGGTCATGCTTTTGTGTCAGGTCTTGATCGTTTGGTTTTTTTTTAAGTTATGACGGATACAAACGGGTTTTGCCAAACACTCCCCTCGTGTGTTCCTCTTGAGCATGTGTTAGTGGACCCGCAGGAGGGAAGGTAAATGCGCTGCTGACCGATGGGTGTCCAGCTAAATTGGTTTTGGAAGAGCCACAGTACCCCAGACTGTCGTGGGGTTCCAGTGCGGTTTCCTTGAGCCAGCGTAGGACCAGCCAGAAGAGTGTGAGAAATGTTGCTGCTTCACAGAATGTCGTGTAAGATGCGGTGTGGAGCAAGAACTCGACTGTGTGACGAGAAACTTGCCTGCGCAGCAGAGGGGCCACCAGGTAGATTTCCAATTTCTCTCGGAGTAGGAAGGCTACCTACTGCTCTCCGCAAGCAGAACTTTCTGTTCCCAGCAACTGGAAAACTGCTTTGGCGTAAACAAGATAGAACTTGTATTTGTGCATAATTCTCCAAGGCACAGTTATGCAAATCAGTTGTAAAGCAGCAGTGACTTCAGAAAAATTCAGTTGGATGTTTTAGCTGGATAGACTTCTCCGGGAAAGGTTAAGTTAACTCTTTATCACTTGCCAGAGGAGTTTGACATCTGAGTAGCTGCTTCGTGCCGTAGCACTTTCTGATTGATACAAGGCGTGGCGAGGGGTGGATGTGACTTGGGCTCAGAAAAGTGCGTTCGATTGTTGCACTAAGCACAAGGTTGTATCGTTGGGTATATTTGCACCAGAGACAAGGATTTAGTCTGTGAAATGGTTTCCATTGTTCACAAAATAACGTATTCAAATGGCTTATTAGTAGGCAATGTCAAGTGTATCAGCAAAGATGCGGGGGGGGGGGAAGCTGTCTGTGCAGTTCAGATGAAGGATCTTTGTGCTTTTGCGGGTGGTAAAATTATATTTAATAAATGATGGTGACGCTGAAACAGTTTGAAAGAAGAGTAATTAAATGTGTGTTTTCCGCGGCATTGATTTTTGCAAAGTGGTCTGGGCCAGTTCCATCAGGGATGTGTAGTGGCCCAGGAGCCGTACCGTAGCCCGCAGCTTGACCTTGACCGTCGAGTTTGTGTGGGTGGCCCGCTCTGGGCTGCGGTCACCCCAGCCTCAGCCTCCTTTCAGGGATGTCTGCAGCTGTCTGATCCAGATGTCTAATTTACAGTCATATGGCTTTTAAATATCCATGGTTTTCCCTCTCCTGTTAACTTTGGCTCCTTCTCGGTGAATATTATACTGTCGTGTTAGCCCGTACGTCCTGCCTGCACCATCTGGATGTGTGTATGCTGACGACCCCTTGGGAAAAGGTGAAAAATGCATCTTCTGCAGCTGCTCTCGGAAGCTGAAGAGAAAATGTTCACCTTGTGTATTGTCCCCTTTCTCCCCACGGCAATTTGCAGTCTAAAAAACTGGAAACAGAAGTTAAATGGAGATTATATGTCATAGCTTAGAATACTGGTTTCAATGTACAGAGATATACCTAGTAAATTGTGTTCCATTTTTTCAGGTTTTCAGGATGAATCTGGAAAAACTCAGCAAACCAGAGCTACTGACGCTGTTTAGCATTCTTGAGGGAGAATTAGAAGCAAGAGATCTTGTCATAGAAGCCTTAAAGGTATGTTGTAAGTGCCTTGATAAGAGACAAAAATGACAACAGTACTACTACTGTAGGTTCTGCAAAGCTCTCGCATCCAAGGTGAAGTTCAGAGGCAAAGATTTATTACTGATTCAGAATCCCATCTTAATATCAGCAGTATTAGAAAATAAATGGTGTGTGTCATTCTGTGTTTGGGAATTAATTATTGAAAGCTGGCCGCAAGAAGCATTTCAGTGTTGAAATACAGACTTACTCGTCTCCTTTCACCCTTCCTGATAAAGAACCATGGGTTTCTGCTATTGTGAGAAGTGTAGAAGCTCTGTCAGACTTCCTTTGTTGGTTTTGTTCTCCTTTAGTAAGGAGGGCTTCTTAAAGCAGAAATTCTTCTCGCCAGAAGGGGTCACAGATAAGTCTTTTAGTGAGAATAACTACTTCACACTAAGAATAACTTCACACTAAGAAAAAAGCATCTGTGCCTTTGTACTGTCCTAAGCCAATCTAAGCTGGCGCTGCTGCTGAGAGCAGCAGATCTCTGTTCTCAGCTACTTCTTCTTTCCCTTTGCTGGCTCAAGCATTAGTGTAACCTTCCAGGGAGGTAGATAACAGCTAAAACTGACCCATCAAAAGAGTTTCAGCCCATGTCAGTGCAGCTGATGTCACGGTTGTGGGAGCTCTTGGGACGGGACGGGGCAGGGGTGGTGCTGGAGCCTGCAGGACCCCTCCTTGCAGGGGTAGCTCGTGCTGCAGAAAGAGTGGCTGGAGTGGTGGTGGTGTGTGGCGTTAGCTCTGTGCTTCTGCTCCCCTCCTTCAGCAGTGTGGGCTGTGGTACTCTGTGGTGTGTTAATGCTGAGCCTAGAAAATATTTAAAAAATGCGTAGTCCGTGTGTAACGCTGCTGCTTTTTGATGGATGCTTAGCTGGCACTCCGCCTCAGGAAGGTGGGGGGAAAAAAAAAATAGCAGCATTAATGATGGAAGGGGTCAATTTTTGAAGAAATGGGTTGTGACAGGGTTGAATATTGAAGGCTTTTTCAAGCTGACCTGTCACTGCTCATAACGTTTAAACTTTCAGCTCTTTGAAAAGAGGAAGGGCAGCTTGCAGGGCCGAGAGCTGCAGGCACTCGGTTTTCCAGCAAAAGCTTCCGTAGCTTGGTTCCAAATACAGACACCTTTTGGGGTGGTGGAGGGAGATCCTCCTCCAAAACAGCAGGGATGTTTATGTGTTTACTGTTAATCACTTTTGCGTTTATACAGTCTTTTTATTTCGGAGGGGTATCGTTACCCTCTCAAAACCAGCACGGGTGGAAGGCTTGGTTCCTCTCTTGGAACAGACTCGCAAATTTCTCTGTCCTGGGATCAGTTTTCTAATTCTGTGTGGTCAGAACGTGTTACCAAAACAAGCATCACTTTAATACCGCGGTGTGAAATGCGTGTCATGGAGCGCAGCGAGAGCGATGGGAAGGAATGCAGCGGCTCCGTTCCAAAGGGGTTTTGTTGTGTACCTTCCAATAGCGTAAAGCAATTACCTTTTCTGTTGAACTTCAACCTGCAGCTCCCTCCTGCGCGAGGAGTTTAATATAGTTGGAATGCCCTCTGACATAACTTGTCAAGAACTCGTAACTGAGAAGAAATCATACGGAATTGTGACCTCTTATGTAATGTCAAATACCAAGCTAATCAAAGGTTGGTGCTGGTTTCCCCTTCTTTTGTATGGGATACACGGTAGTGTTCCACCTTAAGAATGTGCGGAAAGCTGAAGGTGGTAGGAAAAGGCAGTAAAAGCTTTGTTTCGGAGCTGGCTCTGCCTGCAGCCCTGCCTGGGAAGGTGAACCCCCTGCCACGCTGCCCGAGAGGGGCTCTCGCTCTGCAGCCACGCTGCTGCTCGGCTGCGGGAGCTCCGGAACGCCGCGCCTGCAGCCCGGCTGCCAGGGCCTGCGCTGGCCTCTTGATCCGTGGAAGGAAGAAAGCCTTGTAACTGCTTAAATCTGGTGCCTGGGCAGAGTTTCAGAAGCAGAAAATTCCCAGCTTTGCTTTGTCCATTTATTTGGAATATACAGCTTGAGAAATTCTGGCCTTACTGAGCTTTTCGTTTTGTTTATTGATAGTAGCCGTGGTAACAGCTTTACAGTGCTTCACTTGCTGAAATAATTTTATCGCGTGTGACTAATCAAAGGAAAACCCACCTTGCTAATGTGTTTACTCCTGTTTTGTTACATGCAAAAACGCTGCCCTGAAGAAAAAGCCTTCTACAACCGAATGAAGGATTGGAACTGGGAGAGCGTTCAGGCCGGCTCGCGCGCCCGGGGCAGTCAGAGCTGGGGCTGGGGGGGGTCGGGGGTTCCACACACAGGAGGAACTGTCAGGCTGTGGGCTCCTTGCGGGCTCTGTCCCTGTGAACAGCGTGTCCTCCTCCGCAGGCAGATCCCTTTGGAGGTGTGATAGTTTTACATCAAGTGCACGTGTGTGTGTTGGAAAGAGGTGGAGTGGAACCTGACCTTCGTTAGGGCATTGTGTGATCTCACCCAGTGCCAGTGTTCTCCAGCAGTTCTGTTCTCATGTGGATGTCAGTGGTTAAAAACCGGGGGTTTGTCTGCCTATTTCCTTCCCATATAGTAAGAAAAATGAATCTCCCTTCATGGGCTAATTTGACTTCTCATTCGGATTTAAATGCGTCTGAAGGCTCTGGATGTTTGAGGCAGATCCTCAGTTACATTAGAGTAAAGAACAAGCGCTCACAGAGCAAGAGAACCTTAATTTGTAAACTTGTAATTTGATTATAGTACAGTCTGCAATAATTGATATTCCTGCATGCTTAGAGAAAAGCATTTAGCATCTGGCATTTAGCAGAGAGAATCTATGCGTGCAGATGACAAAGCCTAAAATAGTTTCCTTCTCCCTCATGATACCAGCCCACTTGTTGGTTGGCACCGGCCCTGTTCCTCGCTGTCGAACTCGAGTGGCTGAGCCTGGCTTTCCAGAGACCGCTGGCTTAGTTTCTCCTTTGCTTTCCTCCTTTCTCCCCCAGGTCTTCACCCGTTCTCCCTGGGGACCTCTGTGCCCCCTGCCCGGGGCAGCATCCCTCTGCCCGCGGGGATGGAAGGTTTAGCTCCTGGGGTTTATGTGTCCGGTGCTCAGATTCATGTTACAAAGAGCAGTTGTTAGGTCACCTCTAACTGATGCCGCTGGCTTATTGTGACTTGCTCTGGCTGGCTTCTGTCCTTCGCGGGTTTTGTTCTGCGGTTTACCTTTTTCCTTGTGTATTGTTTTCAATTGAGCGGTGGGTGTTTGTGGTGGGGACATCTGCACCGGACCTGGTCTTGACTTCTGACATCCATTTCAAATTGCGATGTTACTGCGGTTCGAACACAAGATACTAGGATAAAGGATTCAGTGAGCGAACATACTGTATTCAGAATATTCTTTTCCAGTGTTTCGGTTTGCTTTCTCTATTTTAAAACCTCTTTGAAAAAAGCTGTGCTTTTTTTTTTTTTTTTTTGCCTGAAAGTAGCTTCCTGTCCACCACATAAATCTCAGCGTTCTCCTTGGAACAGACCTTAAGTCTCGCTTCTTATTGTGCTCCTTTTCCTGTAGTTATAATCATATTTAAATCATCCAAAAAAAACAGATGCTGCCAGAGTTGCATAACACTAAGGGCTAGATTCTCAGTCCTCGTTGCAATGTAGAAAGGATTGCTTGTGTGAGCCACAGGTTCGTCTTCTAAAATAGCACCATGACTGGAAACAATTCAATATTTAAATGGGTCTCTCTCGCTGTGTGAGAGCACTTTGTTCCCTGCCCCCTGTTCTTTAAATGAGAATTTTCCATACATTAGAGATGAAGTTCTGTTTACTTTTAGAAAACAGGAAACAGCTTTCTGGTTTATTCTTTTATGTTAATAAGGCCCTAGGCAATTCACACTGGAGTAGAAGCTATCTATTTTGTGTTAATGACTGGGAGCTGGTGTTCATTGCTTTGCTTCTGAATTCAGTGATTCATTCTGTAAAGCAGTATTAATGCATTGCAAAATTAAGTGTTCATTTGTCAGTGGATTTATAAATTAAGTTTACAGTGCAGTTTCAAAAGCTGAGTCTACCTCTTGTTTAAATAAAAAAAAAAAAAAAAAAAAAAAAAAAAAAAAAAAAAAAAAAAAGTTCAGTAATATAAAACCTGACTGCAGATGCTAGTAAATCTTTCACAGATGGGGCAAAATGGGCTTTTGCATCACTTGTAAAGCAGCTTAGATCTAGCAGTGCTCCCATGGGCGCTGTCCTGCTGGAATGCAGGCTTTGCTTACAGATTTTCTTGCAAGTTTGGGGACTATTTATTTATTTATTTATTTCTTGCTTGAAGCAGCTCTATTTGCCAGTATCTTTGGAAAGACTGACTCCCCTCACCTTGTCGGTGCGCAGAGAGGTGCTGAGCGAGGAGCGGAGAGGTGTGGGAATGCCTTCCAGGTGGGAATAGCTCTGGATTTCAGCCGTGCGGGCGCTGTCAGGCTCCCCGTGTAAATGGTGACGGGTGCGTGAGCACGGTGCCGTCCCCGGGCCACGAGCGTGCTGGAGCCGCGCACGGCCACGCTCACGCTGGGATTTGTATTATCTGCGCTACGGAGCAGAAGTTTCCACCGAAAGGAGTTGCAGTTTTGTGCTGCTCGACATTTCCTAAGAAAATGCTTTGTTTTCCGGAGCTGATAACAGGTCTGATGTGGGGAGCTCTCGTTTATCTGGTCTGTTCACATGGTGTAATGATGGCAATTAAGACAGCTACTGTATTTGAGCAATTTAATTTCGGTTGTGTGGCTCTCTGCTAGGGATTGCTTCAGAGCTGGAGCTGAAGTAAAACTCGGAATCCCACTCCAGCCTTTTGACATTTATTTTTGTGCGGAGCAAGTGGTCCCCGCCCCCGTTTCCCTTCTCCCTGTCAGTGATTCCTGTGACCTCAGCTTGTCTTTATTCCCAATACCTGCCTCTGGGGAGAGAAGCTAATAAGGAAGTTCAAGGCAGTGAGAAGCTATTTAAAG